TGGTGTACCTATATATTTGCATATCTTGTCTGTGACGATCTATATGACGCTGACTGTACATCATTGTATCCCATGCCCACGGCCGCCATTGCTCCGCGTATAACTTCAGTTTTCTTGGAGGCCAAGCCGCGACAGTACGCCGACAGGATCGTCTCTTCCAGCGTCAGGCCACCATCAGCATACGCACAGCCCAACTCGCCGGTGCTATGCCCTAAGGGACAAAGAGTAAAGAGGAAACACAAAAGAGTATATTAATAAAAATTAAGAAATAAAACTGTTCCAATCTTATCGATGATACTACTCTGTAAAAATAGTATCAGGAAAACATCAATAATACAAAAAAATGTGAGTTGTTTTACTTACCAATAATGCAATCAGGAACAATTTCTAACGCTCGCAAAATGTCTGTTAAACCAATTTGTACAGCCGTGATACCAACAAAGCAGTTGATTATATCTTCAAATATGGTTTGATCATCCGATGTTAAAATATCGACGATGTTCACTCCTTTTGGTTCAAGCACTTTATGACATCTACAAAAGTATAAGATATCATTTGAAAACATAATTAAAGTAATTGAAAATTACAATTGTCATAGAAAGAAAACTAGATACTTTTCTATTGCTGCAGAAAAAATTGGTGCATTCATGAGATCAGCTCCCATTTTACACCACTGCGATCCCATCCCGCTATACATAAAGCAAACAGGAGGCTTGATTCCTTTGTAGTGTTGAATACTTTTACTTAGAACGCATGTTTTCTCATTTTTTCCCTCAAGTTTAGAACCTGTAACCAAAATTGTAGCAATTATTTTATCCTTGGTTGCCATCCTATGTAATTTTTAACAGCAATACCTACCCAGGATGATGAAGCCTCGGGCAGTATGTCCCGGTGTTTCTATTTTATGTATATTATGCAGAAGACCAATATATTCGGCATCGATCGGCATCGCCGCCACAATTTCAAACATTCTATGAACGCCTGTCTCGTTTCTACTAGAGACATTCACCAAGTATGGTATATTTGCTGTATATTTCTTGTAAATCTGAAAAACGATAGCAGTATTTTAAACAATACTACACGTAAGGAAACGAAATGCTTGAATTCCACATAAATGTTGATTCAAAGTTTTTGAAACTTTTTTTTCTTTGTAAGTACTTTGATATAATATTTTTTTTTTGCACATTTGTAAATTTTTAAATCTCTAAAATTTTCTCTCTCATGAAATCAAATTACCTTTTCTTTGTAATGCCCTTTTAAAAGGACATGTGCCATCGGGCCAGTATATGAAAAGCTATTCACGGCAGCAAATCTCCTTTTGAAAGGAGTGTTTTCATGTACAACTTCAATTCTTCCATCCCGGACAGCGTCTACGTCATCGTGGGGGTTTTCGTAATGTAAGTTACCGGAAAGTTCCCCATTCCTGTATGCTAAACAAACCTACAAAAACACTTCACATAATATGTTACAGAAAATAATGTAAGCAGAAAGAAAAACAATATATATCAAATCAACTGAGATGTAAAAAAATGGAGATTTTCAAATATTGTTTGTTGCATTATCATTATGTAAAAAAGTGAAAAAAAATTACATGAAAAAGAGTAAAAGTAATGATATGTACCTTTGTAAGAGCACATAATCCTGAAGCAGATTCACTGTTCCCCATATTAGATTTGAC